TATTAAAATGTATATTGAAGATAATAAAGAAGAATCATCAGTAGCTGCACTACTACTATGACTAGTTTCATTATCATTATCAAGTTCAATAAATTCTGATGATGTAGTATTATGACTTGTTTCGATTCTATCATGACTTTCATCATTTTCGAATTGTGGAAGAATGATTGGTTCACGTTGTTTTGGTAATACTGGGACATCGATAAAATCAGATTCTATTGAAAGAAAAAAGAATATATTTTTAGTTGTTTAATTATTTAATATACCATCAGAATCTGATGAAGATTCAACTATATTGGAAATATCATTCTTTTCTTTTATAATCGAATCCTGTTGATCTTCTAATGATCTTTGAATAGCTAATTCTAAATCAATATCCTCTTCATAAGAAGTTCTTTGAATAACTGATTTTTCTATTGGACTTTGTTTTTCTAATTCAAAATGAATATCTTTCTGAACCGGTGATTCTTTCAATAGAGATTGGCTTGTATTTGTCGTTATTGATTGTTCTTTAATAGGTGATGATTCATGAATATTAGTAGGAATTATAGAATCAGTTTCAATGGTTGTACTACGTCGTTGTGTAAATGCACTACAAGGATCTCGATTCATCATACTATCAGCACAAAAATCACTAGTTGATTGACGACTAAACGATGAATTCAATGATGACGTTGATGAAATTGTTGATAAATTTGCCGGTGTAGGTTTTTGTGCAGTATCAGATTTAATAAGAATATATTGTGTAGTAGCATCTGATGCTAATTTACCTGCATAAACTTTAGCATTTGATTCTGTTGGAATATCTATATAGAAATAATTTTCTATAGGATAAGAAATATAGGATAAATGTTTTGTTTTCTACCAAATTTTTGTCGTTTCATAGCTTTATTAAGATTAAAAATTTTTTGTGAAACCAAACTTTGTTTAAGTAATTTTTGCACTTGATAATCTGAAAAATCATCACTTTTCTATATGAAAAATAAAATGAAGGAATTTTTCTTTCTAGATGAAATTGTATAAATATACTTGAGGCATATCTTCAACTTGATGTCGACCACGTTTAAGACCTTCTTTCATATCACTCTAATGAAATAAAAAGTATTCATATATAAATAAAGTTCTTTTTCTTATTATTTTACTAGAATTTCATGTTGCATTTCAACGGGTAAATTATTAAGTGCACTATCATCCAAATCGCTAAACTATAAAATAGATATTTTGAAAAATTTATAATATGGAATAAAAATAACTAACCTTAGGTAGAACATAATGATAATTCGTATTAGAATCCGGTCGTTTTCTTGACCAAGTTGTCCGTTGTTTTTTAAGTTTAACTACTGGTTCAAGTTCAGTATTTTCTATAATATCATCATCGTCTCCTCTATCAAAACAAATAATTAGATTTATTTATTCAATTCAAACGAGCATACTCAATATCATTGTCATCATCATCGACTAATTGTGAACGTAAATGCGTATCTGGCAATTCAAATAAATCTTTTTCTTGATCATCAGTTGGTATTGGTGGTAATGATTCAACTAAAAAATTAGAGAATTGATTTTATACCGTATTATCTATAAATAGCAAGGATTTATCATTCTTTCGATTACTAGTTTTGAACTGAAGGCTACGAAAGATAAAGTTTGACATGAGCATACCAAGGGCGGGGTGCGCCTTCCCTGCTTTTCGATTTTAAGTCAAAAATATGATCTATGTTCACCCTCAACTCAAATTAAATCTGATATTATAGTTCGATCTATTACAATTTGATAAATACTCACTTTCTTCGCCTTTCAATTGTTGAATAGCTAACATTTTTAAATAATTTGTTCGTATTTTATTCTTTGCTTCTTTTGCTTTTGTTGCAGCTACATCTCGTCGTTGCCGTCGTTCAGCCCAAAATACAAAATAGAAACAATACTTCTATATTTTCAATATTTTGACTTACAAGTGTTCGTCGTTTTAATTCAGGTACTCCACCATCAAAAATAAATATTGGTTTAATTTTAAAATGTAATAATTTACAAATACGATGTAATAATAAAAGTATATGTGGATTTTGTCTATCACGCATGCCTTTAGCCGCTTGATGTAACCAAATACTAATATCTGTTTGAAAGAAGTATACATATATATTTACATAAATGTAAGATTATTGTATTTTGTTTTCTTTTTTAACAAAAAAATAATAATCTTACCAATTGCTAATATTTTTCCTTCTAAACCTTTATTCATATTAACCGGTCGACCGGTTGATTCAATTAATTGCCAAAAATTTTGTACTCCCATTGTCTTTTTTTTTCTATAAAATCAATAAAATCCTTTTTTTTCTCTTTTGTTGTTCAGAAAAAAAAACAATAAAATTTCAATCATCATTCATCATATAGCATGAAGATAAATATAAAGAATGAAATAAAATTAAAAAAAGAAGAAGAAGAAGAAGAAGAAGAAGAAGAAAGAACAAGACAAAAATATTAACGTATACATATACGATTGATTTGAAAGATATTTTATTTACACTTAGTAATAAAATGATGAAGATATACTGTGTCTATCCTAGATATTAACTCATCATTAGAATTTTGAAAAAGAAAAACGAAGTGTATAGTGAAAAAGAAATTTAACTCAAATCAAGTTTAAATACACAATTAGTATCCTCCTGTTCATTTTGACCAATTGAACATAATTGTAATGAATTAATTGTTTGTTTACCAAATGAAATTTCTTTGGATTCATTTTGACATATTGAAGAAAATTTTCGTTTACATTTTAATAATGTTATATGTGGAATAAATTCATAATAATTTCCAGCAAAAAAAAATATTTGATAATTTCTGTTTTTGTTGTTGTTCAGACAAACGTTCAAGTATTAATGTACGTAAATTTTCTAAACGTTGATTTTGTTTACATTTAACATATAACACTTTATCATAAAATGTTTCAATACCATCAAATTCTAAACATATATGTTCAGGATATGAACAATGATAATGAATTTCTTCTCGAATTTGTTTTAATGCTAAAATACATTGATCAATATCAGACTTTGATTCAATATATAATGTTAATAATGTTAGATGAAGACGAGGTGGATCGTCGGATGAATTTGTACGTAAAGAAAAACATGTTGGATAAGATAAAAGTAAATGATCACGATATGATATATAATTTTTAATAACAGTTGGATCACTAATCGGTATTGAAAGATAATAATTTGGTTTATATGCACCATCAGTTAATGTTAAATAACGTGGTAAAGGAGTTGATATATCTCCGTCTTCGATTATATTATCATTGTCAGATGTTCTAATTGATATAAAGAGAAAAAATAATGAATATTTAAAATAAACGGGGGTGGTCGAAAAATCATTAATTTTAATGCACGCTAGAAATGACCTGAGTCTGGTATTGGGTAGTTCCATGGGATGTCAAACATAAAATACACAAATTATTTAGAAAATTTTCTTTCTCCTCAAATTTTGTAGAGCTTTTCCCGCTGATCATTTTCGTATAAGGAAGTTTTGGATTCTATCGAGAAATG